ATAGGGGGTTCGTGGGACGCCGAGGGCTGCGAATGCCTTGGTATGAGGGAAGCCAAAGACAGACGACCGGAATCCCCTTGGCTGCCACCCCCACTCCCATCGAGGGAAGGGAAGCCCCAAGGAAGAGGGTCAGGGGAGGAGACGGGGCTGGCCACAGGGAAGCAGCCTGCGACTGGTCCGCTTCATCAGCCGGAGGTGCAGGGTGGGTGAAAAGTACTGGGTTCGCCGCATGGAGGACTCGGACGACGACATACTGTAGCACACGTTTATTGTACTTAACACAGACAAAGACTAACTCTAACGGCCAACAGGGCCAACTATATACATATCCACCAGCAACCCCCTCCACTCCCATTGGAGGGTTTAAATGTCCCGCCAAGGTGGCTATTGGTTGGGGCTGGGGGATCCAGGATCCGAAGTTTCCTTTGTTTTCGGATCCAAGCTCTGGCCTGTCCACGGACCCCTGGAGGCGGTCCACGTACATAACAGTGGGCATGTACGGTCTTGAATGTGCAAAGGCTGGAGAAGCCTGACCTTACCCGAGAGAGGAAAGCTAGAGACGCCACGGGAGCTGGCGTCGATCTCCATGTCTTCGCCGGAGGTGACCACACCCACGCACATCCCTGCTCAGGAAGGGACTCACAGGGAAACCCAGGAGGGCGGGACTAGGGTGGAAATGCACCATAGAGAAGGCAGATGGGGGGATTGGCAGGCTGAGGGAGCAATGGTATCACTGGAGAGGGAAAGGGAGGTGTCACAGGGGTGGGGAAGGAGGATAAAAGGAGGGAAGCAGACGAGAGTCGGGGAGGATGTCGGTAGCAACCGGCTTGGATCCTCAGAGAGACTGATTCAAGCAGCTGTTGACCCCGAGGAAGGAGGCTCTGGGAGTGACAGAACTCCAGGCTCCTTCCACGTCTGAGACCCCCGCCTCCCTCCTGACTCCTCTGCCAGCACGGCAAGTGGTCCTCCAGTGCATGGGGCCACCCCGGGGCCCGACACCTTTCTTTTTCTCCTCATAAGTAGTCACAGAATTCAGTCGCTGACTTTTGTGCATTAATTCTTAGATTGCAGGAATCGCATTTTAAAAGTTCTTAAATGCAGATGTCTGTTTTTGTATGACTGTTTTTTCCCCCTCTCCCTCACATATTATGCTTACTCTGTATAAGAACATAAGAACATAAGAGACGCCAATGTTGGATCAGGCCAAAGGCCCATCCAGCCTATCCCCCATCAGTTGTCAGGAGGCAACCCTAAGCACAGAGGTTGTTGCAGGGCCCCACCCCCATCCCTGCCCCCAACCTTCCTACCAGTTTCCAGACACGGCCGGGCCACCCTCTCAAGAAGTGAAGTAGCAGACCATTTGCAGAATTACTGAGGCTTCGCCAACATCGCTCCCAGAAGGACCCACGGATTTTGCAACCAGCTTTTTGAACAGAGAACAGGAAAGGGCAGCTACTTACCCAAAAGTAACTTGGGAAAATTTGATGTTTCGATATTGTGGTAATAGACGATAGATGTTGTGGCAGCTACAAATCCCATTATAGCGGGAAAGAAGAGGTGCAGGTGGCGAGAATCTAAATGTCTGCAAGGAAATAAACAGAACATCAGGAACTCTGGGTCTCTCCTTGATCATAGTGATGAGTATTTTGTTCTACACAAAGTCCAAGGACAGGAGAGTATCCAGGTCAAAGGAAGGACATTACAGATTGAGACTACCTTCTTTATAGAGGTGATGAAAGGACAATGACAGTTTCAAGAGAGAAGAATGTTAATTCGGCATATGAAAGCAATTGCACCAAGGTGTAAACTGCAGAAGGGAACCGAAAACCAAGCAAAAAGGCAATGCCATTTCCCCTCTGGGAACAACAGCGCTTTAATTTATTTATTGAAAACATTTCTTACGGAGCTCAAGGCAGCTTACAATATAAATAAAAGACATCGAGTACAAACAAAATATATTTAAAAAATTTAAAATCGCAGTTTAACCAAATGGGGGGATTAGTAGGAGAGAGAGGAAGGAAGGCCCAAGCGACATGGCGATGCCACTTCCAGCGCACAAACAAAGTAGAATTTTTGCTCAAAAGACCCAGCAGAAAGGGAGCGTTGGTAGGCACCTGCTTTGTTTTTTGAACATAGGGGTCTTTACATCTGAAAGACACGGCAGAAGTCAGAACACACCGTTTGCAGGCTGTTGCTGTGAAAGTTGGGTGACTCTAGAGAAATATAAACTGTGTAAATATTGGATTTCCTGGGTCTGGGGACTGACTTGAATGTAGAGGTAAATGTATTTATACAATATTAATATGTTTGTAGCTTTCAGACTGGCTTTGACAAAGAAAAATTTGGAAACGCGTTAGCCAGCTGAGCTTTGATTTCAGAAGAACTTGCAGCCACACCTGAAGTCACGCCACGGAGGCATCTTCGGATGAAATAATGACACAAGTTCTTCTCAATTGTCTTTACGCTTTCAAAATAGTCTGTGATATACCCAGGAGGGTTATGCATTGGATGTATACCGTGTTTCCCCGAAAATAAAACACTGTCTTATATTTATTTTTTCTCAAGAAGACACACTAGGGCTTATACCACAAATGCATAGAAATCCTGCTAGGGCTTATTTTTTGGGTAGGTCTTATTTTCGGGGAAACAGGATACGTATCTTTAAGTGTAATGAAGTTACGTTTCATTTTCATAACAGCAGAGAATTTGTGACGTAACTTAGCACAGTGTGTCTCATCTTTGGTTTACACAATCTTTCCCCGTGCACTCTTTTGGTTGACCCAAGTACATATTTATCCTATAAAGGCATCCTCACGTAAAGCTTGTTACAGTAATCTAGTATGGATCTGACCAAGACGTGTGTGACAGGTAAGTCCTGGCCCCACTGCTGGACCTCCTGACAGCACCTGGTATTTTTGGCCACTGTGTGACATGGAGTGCTGGAGGAGATGGGCCATTGGCCTGATCCAACATTGGCTTCTCTTATGTTCTTATGTAAGGGTTGCCAGCTCTGAGTCGGGAAATTCCTGGAGATTTTTGGGGGTGAAGGCTGGAAATGGCGAGGCTTGGATAAGGAAGAGACCTCAGCAGGGTTTAATTCCATAAGAGTCCATCCTCCAAAGCAGACATTTTCTCCATGGAAACCGATTTATTTCACCTGGAGATGAATTTCAATTCCAGGAGATCTCCAGGCCCCACCTGGAGGGTGGCAACCTTAGCACAGACTGTGCATAGGAATAATACCGGGCACAGCAGGGCTATTTTGGGGCAGGAACGCACAGGAACGGAGTTCCGGCTGGCTCCCGAGTTGGCCACACCCAGCAGGAACTCATTAGCATAATAGGCCACACCCAACAGCAGTAACTCATTAGGACTGGCTACATTAGGGGTGTGTGGCCTAACATGCAAAGGAGTCCCTGCTATAAAAAAGCCCTGGGTTTTGACAACAAACAAGGTAAACAGAATAAGAAGCAAAAGGTGGGTGTGGCCAGATGACCACACTTCTGCGAACAAGGGGTGTGTGGCCTAATATGCTAATGAGCTGTGCTGTCAGGGGTGTGTCCTAATAAGCAAATGAATTTCTCCTGTTGGGTGTGGCCTATTATGCTAATGAGTTCCTGCTGGGTTTTTTCTACAAAAAAAGCCCTGGGGCACAGCATATTAAGCACGACCACAAACAGAGGTATCACACAATGAAAGGAAAACATTACAAAAGGAGAGCTCTAGGCCGCAGAAAACTGGCAGTCGGATTACTCACCAATGAACAAAATAGGAAAGGTGATAAATAAGAGGAAAACGTGAGGCACCAAGTTGAGGGCATCCAGAAAGCAGACGTTCCTTAAGAAGCCATTGCTGATGTCATAGGCAGAAGCATTGTCACTGCCACAAAAGGCGATGTCCGTCAAGTCCGGCATTTAGTCGGTTGCGCTTCCGAGAAAGAAAACGATTTTTAAAAAACTCTTTTTATTAATTTTCTACAATAAACAGATGTCAATAACTTTGCATACAACATATCATGTGGAGTTGTGGATATAACTTTCTTATATGAACAATAACGACACAGAAAAACAAATTCACATCTACAGTAGGCATTTTAACAAATGTTTCGATTTCAACTATGTTGTTAGCAGGGCTATTTTTGGGCAGGAACGCACAGGAACGGAGTTCCGGCTGGCTCCCAAGTTGGCCATGCCCAACAGGAACTCATTAGCATAATAGGCCACACCCAACAGAAGAAACTCATTAGGATTGGCTACATTAGGGGTGTGTGGCCTAACATGCAAAGGAGTTCCTACTACAAAAAAAGTCCTGGGTTTTGACAACAAACAAGGTAAACAGAATAAGAAGGGAAAGGTGGGTGTGGCTGGATAACCACACTTCTGGTAACATGGGGGTGTGGCCTAATGTGCTAAGGAGTGGTGCTGTCAGGGTGTGGCCTAATATGATAATGAGTGTTGCTGTTGGGTGTGGCCTATTATGCTAATGAGTTCCTGCTGGGCTTTTTCTACAAAAAGAGCCCTGGAACTTAGTATCGAGACCAAGGTAAGTAAGCAATTCTCCTATTCATTCAGAACCAAGTTGCACTTTAACGCTATCAGTCATTGTGATTTCTGTGTTGCGATGACAGCTATTGGTATAGTATAGGTAGATATGTAGGGTTATGAGGTTGCAGATCAGAGGTGAAAAGAAACTCCATGAAGGGAAGCCATTTCTTTGCAAAATTAGACGGTTTAGGGTAGATTTCTGAGTGACGAATATGATCTGTTATCTTCTGGGCTTACCAGGCACAGAGTGCTATAAAACAGATGAGTTAAAACACAGAAGCTAAAAACATTGACAACTCACAGGATACATGAAGGACTAAAATTACGCTCTCTCCATTGCATATCAGGAGGAGGTCAGAGGTCAAAAGTCAGAAGGGGGATGCCATGAGCCATGATGTTCCAAGTTCTCATCGGCCCACCCCGGCGGTCCTGCTCCGCAGTTATGCGGTGGTGGTAGTGGCAGCGGTGGCCCCTACTCAAACGCCTGGCAGAAGAGCTCCGTCTTGCAGGCTCTGCGGAACTGTAAAAGGTCCCACAGAGCCCTGATCTCCTCCGGGAGCTCATTCCACCAGATAGGGGCCGCCACCGAAAAGGACATGGCCCTCGTGGTAGCTAGCCTGGCCTCTTTTGGGCCCGGGGTCACTAACCGGTACTGTGACCCCGACCGAAGTGCTCTTTGGGGCCTATATGGGGAAAGGCGGTCCCTCAGGTATGTTGGACCCTGGCCATGTAGGGCTTTAAAGGTAAGCACCAACACTTTGAAGCGAATCCGGTACGCTATAGTCTGTCTGTTGCAGTAGAAAAGAGCGAGAGTCTGGTAGCACCTTAAAGACTAACAAAAATATGTGGCAGGGGAGGAGCTTTTGTGAGTCACTGGCAGTGGTCCCTCTAAGCTAAGTTAGTGTGAGCTAGCTCACAGGTTTGTAGCCTCCGGCTCACACATTTTTGTCTTAGCTCAGGAAGGGTGGCTCCAGAGCAAACTGATTCATGCAGTAGCCAAGTCGCTCGCTCACCACTTTAATGCCAGTAGCTCACAAAGTAGAATTTTTGCTCACAAGACTCCACAGCTTAGAGGGA